GTTGAGCTCAGATTGTGATATCCATCCTTCCTTGTCTGAGATGGTATAGGGTCTCCTGCTTGAGCTGGGGGCTGGACTACTAGAAGAGCTCCAAGGTCCCTTCTAGTTCTATTCTATTCTAATTCTAATTCTAATTCTAATTCTAATTCTAATTCTAATTCTAATTCTAATTCTAATTCTAATTCTAATTCTAATTCTATTCTACTCTACTCTACTCTACTCTGTTCCCTTCTCTTCTCTTCTCTTCTCTTCTCTTCTCTTCTCTTCTCTTCTCTTCTCTTCTCTTCTAATTCTATTCTGCTCTGCTCTGCTCTCTTCTCTTCTCTTCTCTTCTCTTCTCTTCTCTTCTATTCCTTATTCTATTCTATTCTATTTTATTCTAAGCTTTTCTATTCTATATTCCAATATCTATTCTATTCTATTCTATTCTACTCTACTCTACTCTACTCTACTCTACTCTACTCTACTCTACTCTACTCTACTCTGTTCTATTCTGTTCTATTCTGTTCTGTTCTATAGTAAAGTAAAGTAAAGTAAAGTAAAGTAAAGTAAAGTAAAGTAAAGTAAAGTAAAGTAAAGTAAAGTAAAGTAAAGTAAAGTAAAGTAAAGTAAAGTAAAAAAGTAAAGTAAAGTAAAGTAAAGTAAAGTAATCTACAGTTAGAATTAGAATCGAATACAGCTGGAAGGGACCTTGGAGGTCTTCTAGTCCACAACTGCTCAAGCAGAAGACCCTTATACCATGTCAGGCAAGTGGCTTCTGAGTCGGTTGCCTCTACTCTTCCAAATGTTAATTCATGCCAGATATTGCAGTTCTTCCAAGTGCTATATGCCTTTTGATCTGCAGTCACCACTTTGGTTGATTTTTAGTGCCCAGGGAGATGAATTCCTTAGTGTTTCCATGGTCTCGTTGTCGACCTGCATTCCCAATCTGCAGTAGTCATTATCTTTGTTTTCTTGACGTTAAGGCGAAGCCCAATTTTTTTTTTCACTTTCATCTTTGACTCTCAGGATTAGCCACTCCAGATCCTCCTTGCTTTCCACCAGCAATGTGGTATCATCTGCATATCGGAGGTTGTTGATGCTCCTACCACCGATTCTAACCCCAATGGACCTGTTGTAGACTAATGCCATTGAAGAGTAAGGATAAATCACTGTGTTTATGAGAGCTGTGAAAAGAGCAGGATCCCTCTTCCGTTCTGAACCACACTTCCTTTTCACAGTTTAATCTTGGATGTGTGTAAATGTTGACCTTTGCAACCGGTTGCGAAACGGTTTCCCCCTCCAATCTTTTTTAACACCCCCCCCCAACGAAGTGGTCACTCTGCCAATGTTTGCAGAATGTCTTCAGGCAACGCAGGAAAATGACGTGACGCGGTGGGCTGAATATCGCAGCAAGAGTTGAGTGCTTGATACCTACCCCTCTGTGGGATATCGGTGTGGGTCTGTTGTGTAGCTTGCAGGAAAGCTACTTGCCAAGTGTGAGACGGAAGAAGTGGCTGCCAGCAGATGAAGTAAGGGCATTTTTCGAAGGTTAGCTGCTCTTAAATTTGAACCCGCCAGTTAACCAAAGAAAGTAGATGTGAGTAGACTGGTTGGCAATGTACGGAAGAGCCCATTGTTTGGGTTGTTGCTTGCAATGCTGTAGTAACGCTTGAGTAAAAACTATGTCTTGGTCCAGTTTGCAAAGGGCAAGGATTGGTTAAGTCACTCAATGCAGTGATTATTGCATCCTCTAAAGTAGGAGTGGGGAAACCCTGGCCCTTTTATGACTTGTGGACTTCAACTCCCAGAATTCCTGAGCCAGCCATGGCTGGCTCAGGAATTCTGGGAGTTGAAGTCCACAAGTCATAAAAGGGCTACAGTTCCCCACTCCTGCTCAGGCAGGGCTTTACTTTCATTCACAAAAAACATATTCCATAATACAGCTGTTATTTAT